ACTACCTGAAAGAAGGCTCTACTACCTGACATGTACTCTACTATCCTAATGATGGCTCTACTACTCGATAGAAGGCTCTACTACCTGATAGAAGTACTACTATATTAATGATGTTTCCACTACCGTTTTGAAAGCTCTCCTACCCTATAGGAGACTCTACTACCTGAAAGAAGGCTCTACTACCTGATATAAGTACTGCTATATTAATGATGTCTCCATTACCGTTTTGAAAGCTCTCCTACCCTATAGGAGACTCTATTACCTGAAAGAAGGCTCTACTACTTGATAATAGTACTACTATACTGAACCGCAAAAGAAACATCACCATGGATAGATATATGAGAAACCTTATTTGTCCAAACAGTGTAAACATACTTTGAGAGATATTAAAAAGATGAAACTTGGCAAAACTGATCACCAAGGTTGAAATTAAAGTGTCAAATGTTCTTAAAGTGAAACACAACACTAGTCTCTAAGAAAACGGCATCACACATCAGTATCTCGTGTGTCTGCCATGTGCATTGATGACTGCCGTGCAACGTCGACACATTGAATTGATGAGACGGTTGATGAAGGCCACAGGCCCTTGAGCCCACACTCTGACGAACGCATGACGCAGTTGAGTTGCAGTTGTCGGCCTTGATCGGACGTCATTCAGCCGTCTTTGAATCTCATCCCACAGGTGCTCAAAAGGATTTAAATCAGGACTGAGGGCAGGCCACTGCATGGTATGATGCCATTCTGCTGGAGGAAGTCTCTTGTTGCTCTCGCAGTGTGGGCACGGGTGTTATCATGCTGAAACTTGTGGTTGCGGCGACGTGCCAAATGAGGTATGGCATGTGGTCTCAAGACTTGATCAATGTACCGAGCTGCTGTGACTCCATTGCCTCTCCCTGGACCGATGTTCTGGAAGACCACAGGGCCGACCCTCTGTGCAAGACCTATTCCAACCCACACCATGATGCCCGGACCACCCCGTGAGTCTCTCTCAACAACACAAGCATCCGAATAACGTTCCCCACGGCGTTGCCAGACTCTCTGTCTGCCATCTGCTGTTGAGATACAGTAACGGCTCCCGTCTGAGAAGAGGACTCTTCTCCACTGCTGGTGGCGCCAATGCTGGTGCTGTGTTGCCCACTGAAGACGGTCCCGGTGATGACGTGGTGTCAGAATGGGTCCTCAGTGTGGCCTGTGACAGTGGAGGTGTCAATCATCGATGCATGGGTGTCCGCACTAATGTGTTGCTGATGTGTCCCCATGGTCTGTCGAGCAGTTTCCGCAGCAGTAACAAAGCGATCTTGCAGATGCTGTCGCACAATCTGACGATCATGACATTGTGTGGTGACCCTTGGTTTTCCACTACGTGGTCGTTCATCTGTCGTGTCCTAACGTGGACTTGAAATGCATTGGCTACTTGCCGGGTGGTTTCTCCAGCTTGCAATAGTCCAAGGGCTTTGTGTCGCTGATTTCTTGGCATGTGGTAGCAATTCAATAACGAATGAATGTTATCCGATCTAGGTGGATTTTTATAGGGCAAGAAATGGGGGAACGCATGTGCATTTCAATTTGCACGGAATTAATGTGCATTGGGTTTACCATGGCCATTGCCGTGATGCGTTTTGGCAAACGGTTTTACTGTCATCTGCTTTGGGTTTTTCCATCAAATTTCATTTTTCCGGACAAGGTAATGTTAAATTTTAGAAAATTTAACAAAAATTACCTTGATATTTAATTGACAACTTTTCATGCAATGTTACTAGGGGTGATGTTTCTTTTGCGATTCAGTATATATTGATTATATCTTCACTACCGTTTTGAAGGCTCTCCTACTCGATAGAAGTACTACTATCCTAATGATGTCTTCACTACTGTTTTGAAGGCTCTCCTACCCTATAGAAGACTCTACCACCCAAAAGAAGGCTCTACTACTCGAAAGAAGGCTCTACTACCCTATTTGATGGCTTTACTACCCAAACAATTGCTCTACAGCCCCTATCGAGGTCAAAGAGGTTTCTTTCATGGTTTTATTGTTGTAATTACTCATATATATAGATTATGGTAAAATATTCTACATAAATTATTTGATGATTTCTCAGAAACATACATCATCTTTGTACAGAGAATTCAATAGATGTCTCTTTTGGACATGTTTCCTGAGAACTTTAGGTGATTAATCTTTCCACAGAATACAATAATAACTACTAATTAATCATCATAAATGACCAACCATGAGACAAGGGACCTTATGGGTGAAAAATCACATTTTGACTTTTCATTATATTTTAAAACTACAGCATCTTCGGAACACAAAAATACAATTCACAAGCTTCAATTTGTTACATCATAGCATAATTGTAACCTAACACCCATAAAGTCCCTTTTCTTCTGATGGGTCACATATGATAAACAACAATACCGATAATGGTTTTTTTCTTTCGACTTCCTACGCTGACATTTCCATTCTTCAGACTTCTTGTAGCATATAAAAGGTAACCATTATCAAATCATACAACAAGGAATTCAAAACTCAACTCAAATTATGTTTTTATTTCCCTAATTTAAGAAACAGATTAATGAGATGATAACGACATAAAATCTTTTGCTGACAGATGCCCTACAATCTCAACCCACAATGTTTACATATAAACATCCTCAGTATGACGTTACTTCTTCTAATACAGAAACTCGATTGCAGCGAATATTATTCATGACCTTACACAATTAGCTGTAACAAAATAGCTTTTGATATTTATATGTTTGTTTGAGACATTACACAAATCACATCTGCACATCAAACAGTGATCATAAAACAAGGCAATATTTACATCCTGAAATGCTGTCTCGATCACTGGGACTGAGCACATTGGACATTTCAGGCCTTTTAGAGGCATTATATTTGTTACAGAAACAAAGAAATTTTGCCATCTGTGTCTCATATGCTCTTCCTAAGGGATATTAATTCTTATCATAATCAGGGAATGTCTTGATGACATCTGTCTGCTAGATGAACATGGTATCTGACTGCAGGAAGGGATTAGGACAATGAAAGGTGTGTCACAGAAATTAATTCTAAACCACACCTACAGCTTTGTAAATATCACAGTATGTCATAATATTCTCCTGGCACAATGGAGATGAAACTGTTGATAACAAAGGACAAGCTGTAATTAATATTTAACTTGAATAAGGCTGTATATCTGTCAGCGGACATGATACTACCCATGTTGTCTCTCAACATGGACAGACAGGGACGCCTCAACAAACATGACAGGGATTTAGATAAAGAAATGAGTAAGACTCACCTTGTCGGGCTGAGAGAGTGGTATATTCCCTTTTAGACAACATGTTGTAATATGACATGTTCGTCTCACGCGTACATATCCCTGTGTAGCTTGTGCATATCACTGGAACATAACTAGTTCCATGGGCAGTCTTGAGCCCACCCCAGTGCAGGCTGTTCCACCTCACTGACTACAGCACAATTGTCTCTTTCTGTGCCGAGGCACAACAACAGCCAAGAGGGGTTGTTACCACTGCTGTATTGTCCACTGTAACTGATCGCAAGGCTGGACCCTGGGGAGGATGGATCTTTCCTTGATTCACCAACAGTGAATTATTAACAGGTTGGCAATTTACCCTCAAATTTGGGTGAAATCCAAAAGTCTAGTCCGTGTGGTTGTGGATGACTCAACCTTGTCTTTGTCACGTTGGTGTCGGTGAATCCCACAACAGATGCTTTCAATGCAGTATGATCAATACATCCTCACATGTACTAAGTGAGCAGGAAAGCGATACAGAAAAAACAAATTCTCCAATCACTGTCCTGCTGTCGTGACACTAATCCAGGTATGAAATGAAAAATGTCCAGACCTGTTGACTCCTTGTATAGGATCTTATTTCAAATAAATTTTCCAGCAACTTGTGAAAGTAACTGGATTGAAATGACCATCCTTAAATGTAGAGGCAGTGTGCCTTGGTAAGATGAACTCTGACTTATGGCCCCACAAAGGATCCGATTTTCATGAAATGAAATTTGTGAGTGATTAATGATGTTGTCACCTGAATGCGAACATTTGCTTAATGCCCAAGCGTGCGTCTGTCACAACATTAACTGAACTTGTCATGCTTCAGTGCTTCAATAGAGCTTGCCTACATCTTGCAACATACAACAGGATATACAAAGGAGTGTGCTCACACTCACGTCACAATTTAGCTGTCAGTTAAGAAACTACCAGAAAAATACTCAACTGTCTTATTCAGACTGAGATAATGCAAAGTGACACCTATGTTAACGACTGTTTAGTCTCTAGTAAGTTCATGAAATCAGGACTTCACACTCATTAAATTTGATACATGTACATGCATGACATCCAATGTCAGGAAACACATGTGATCAAGCAAGGAGTGTCTTCAAGGAAGTCACAAAAAATTAACATGTACTGTTTGGGCCAAATCCTTAGCAATGACACAAAATACATGTGTTATAAGATAACTCCATCACATGTAGCATCCAGTGAGCAACTGAACAACTCCTTTCGTGAAACTAACAATTCAGCTCAAGTCACGTCTTCACCTCCCTGTATTTGGTGACAGCACGGCATACGTCTACTCACATACCTACCAGCAGGTAGACAGTCAATAAAAGCCACAGTCCCTTTCCAGCTCTGCATAAAGGTCTGATACGGCTATTTACGATGAATACAGCATACAAATCACACCAACACTTTTCATCCTCTTTGAAATACAACCCGCTTTCAAATAACTTTCTCGTCTTGAAAATTAGTCCCTCTTTGAAGACAGAACTCACAGGATCATTCACCTCTTCAATTTGAATCCAGGCCAATTATTTCATTTTCAAAGCTTTCCATATAACATATGCCACTTTCAATTACGTAGCCATGTGTAAGACTATGCTGAGGAAGTGTATGTCTCCAGTGTATGACCCTGTACAGCTGCCTTTCGTTCGGAGTTGTTTGGAGTTTCACCTCCCTGGCTATCTCGGAACAGCCAGCAAAGTTTATAAGTCATAACTTTTCCAATTATGCAACACTCTATCCACCCATTTTCAAGTGCAAACTCAGTATCTGATCCTCTGAAATAAACATGTGTAGTTGGCAATAGTCTTTCTGTCAAGTAGACCTGTGTCAAATTAACAAAAAATATTTCAAATTTGTGCAGACTGAATGTTTACATTTTCGCCTGGCCTCATTCAAGGCTTGTGAGCTTTATGCTGATAAACCGAAGAAAAGACGCCAAACAGGGCTTCTTTATTCAAGTCCCTATTAATGTCGCTCCAGAAGCATGCAAACAATATGTGTGTCGTCCCTCTTTGGGTTGGTGAAAAAGACGATGTGTGCCCGCACTCATCCTCAACCCCTCCCTCAATACCCAGCTCAGGAGCTCCTATCTAGATCCATAAACCAACACTACATTCAATATAGATAGAAAGCTAAAAGTTTCTGTCAACAACAAGTCCAATCCGTGTCTATTGCACTCAATTTCAGATTCGAGTACCACATCTCTGGGTAATATATGTATGAGGCCTTCTCCAATATTGAGAAACTTCCAAAGGCTTCATTGATATGTGTCAAACACTCACAAGGCCATATCACACTATGTTTGCCAGGTAAAATATGGTATAATATCCAAGACATGAATGGGGGTGTGGTTACTTATACCTTTGGGTTCATTGTATTGAATACGCTCAGGTCAAAAAAAAAAGGAAAAAAAAATAATTCTGTTCAGTATTTTTCAACATCCAACATCATCTAAAGGCACGAGTTCACCACCAAACAGACGTGTATAGCACGTTTCATCTAAAAATATTGTGACATGCATGCACATGTGGATGTGTTGGTATCTTGTTCATGTCTTGTGTGTGCATACTGGTCCAGTCTGACTAAAAGTCCCAGTCTGCTGACACCATGACACAGTTTACCATGGACACCTCACTCAGACACAGCATACTGACTCCATAATCATCAGTCCATGTTTTATCCACTTATAAATGTTGAGCGCCAGTCAGGGTAACAACAAGAGCCATCTTTTAAAGTCTTTTGTGGCGGGGGCTTGAACCACCAAACTTCCAATCTCCATGCAGACGTTGCATGTCCACTAGACCACTTCCTCTAACTAACTGAATATGCATACTAAGAACTGTGTGTGTTTTATGTCAGCAAGCTGTAGAATTATCTGCAAATCCAAAGTTGTACACACATTGTACCCATGGGAGGAATAAAACCCAGGTCTTCAGCATGAGAAGAAAACACTTTAACCATTTGGCTGTCCCACTCCTTATACAACACAGAGTAACAGACAAGGTGATTGTGTTTTTATTGATTCCTAAACCTTATAAATGAACTTTTATTGATGTGCCCATGTCATTGTTATGGATATCAGGTTGAAGTGAAACACATATCATTGATAAGTGGAGCGTATCTTGTTTGTGGTCAGTGAGTGCACTTGTTCAAATGAGAGTTAAGCTCATCTACAACTCTGGCTTTACCTATATAAAGTTGGCAATAGGTAGATACATCTCTCCAAGCTCAGTCACAAAGAACACTGTTTGTGTAGGATAATTGAACACTGCATGACGTCTGGGACTAAACCTGTATAGAATTCAGCAATAATACTGATGAAAATGGGGCAGTCAACAGCCAATAAAATCCGCGTCAGCGTTGTAAATGTTTTGAAGCGTAGTACTTGTGTTATAATGACAACATTTAAATGCCTTGTGTCAACTCAGGGGTTATGCGACAAGGGTTTTGTACTCGAAAGTATATTGGAATGCTTATGCCACGTACATTATGAAGAAGTCTGTCGTTCAAACTCCCAGTTGTGCAGTGACACATTTAATATACTGTCCTGTGTAAGTTATATTGCAAATATGTGTGAATTAATTAGTTTGCTTGTGTTACTTGATGTAAAGAGGAAGGTATTCCTATCCTAGAGTCACTAACACACCAGAAATCCTAAACATTCAGAGTGAGTGAGTTGGTTGTAACATCGCTATGAACTGTATTCCTCAATGTGTGAGAAAAGCCAAAAGTAAAGCATGTCTCAGACATTTACCACTTTGGTGAAACCAACGAGCATGGTTATGGTGTGGACAAACCTAGAAACATAATCCGAGCCAACCAAGATTCGAACAATCATAGGTTTCTTTTGTGCCCAGAGGACGCAACACTGCACAGTAAATTGCGGCTCCCTAGACGACTGTGCCCCGTGCCCTCTTCAAGTGCACACAAAACCTAAAATTATAGTCACAGACTAATGTTTTTCCCCAACCCATTTACAGTCCTGGAACATGGAGGTAATAAGAGCTATCTTCAAATGAATTTCTTTCAATGCAAGCATCATATGTTCTGTCAGTTTTTAAGGAATAAATGAATAAGAGAGTTCTACATCCTGACTCTTTCACCAATATTAATAGAAAATCCATAGCTGCATGTTAAGTTGCTCCCAGTTTCCAAATGAACTGGATTCTTTAACAAATCATACTCTTGAACACTGTTCAACAGATCAAAATAGTGACTTCTCCACTGTCACTCCAGAATGATCGCAGTCACGTATCATGCCAACTTTGTTCGATGCCACACAGCAATAGTCAAGCCATATGACGTTAGACAGTGAACAATTGAATCTGGACACAAGAAACCAGTTATTGATATTATGAGCAACATTCAATGTTGATGACATGCAGTCAACCAAGCCACTGAGCTTGACCACCCAATCCATTTCATCAACAATTATACAGGCAATGTTGAAGGTATCCTGTGGGCTTGCAGACCTTATGTGTTTACATACAAGTCCTTGTGGGCTTGTAGATGTTTTAGGTTAACCCTTTCGCCCCGACTGCCCGATTTATCGGGCAGCATAAACCGTGTCCCAGTACCCGGCTGCCCGAAAAATTGGGCGGCTACTGTCCAAGCCCCACACACGGCTGCCCGATAAATCGGGTGGCACGACCGTGTTTACAAAATCGCTCTTTCTACTTCTTTTCTCGTGTGTAATCTCGTTCTAAATATGGAAACGAGATCTACACATAATGACACGTCATTCGATGGAATTTCCCAGTCTTTTTGGCGCGAAAATCGCGGATATGTCACCTGTTTTCCCGACAGGTATTTTTCTCGCTTGAATCGTAAATCTAGCGTAATGGCGGTCAACTACAATTCGGATAGCGATCAGATGACTAACAACGACTCTATCGGGAATAAAAATGTGTTTGATTTGAATAATTTACGCGAAGGGGAAAGGGAATTTCGCGAATATTTTGGTGAAGATTTTGACGGTTTCGACGAGGTGTCCCCCCCCCGCCAACTTTCAAGAATGGGAGTGGCAGAGGGACCACAACGGTGGAGACATGAGGGATTTTGAAGAGGCGACCGGACTCAAGATTATATATTGACACGGTGAGTGAAGTATCGTGCTATTGATTTTTTCCAACTGTTTTACAATGATTCTGTGTTTGAACAGATTATCAGTGCAATGAATGAGAATGCAGCCTACAGGTGAACGAGCGATCACAACAACAACAAAGGTGAGTGGCATGACGTATCTCTTTCTTTTTTTTAAAATTTAATTTTCTGATCGCAATCCGAATTGTAGTTTGCCGGTTTGTCGTATGTCCTTATATTTCGCTCAATTTGAATAAAATTTATTTCCATATTCATGTTTGTTTTCTTGTTTTTTACATCTTAATTTAAATTTTAGTAACTGTAATAATTATTTATCTATTAATTGATGTAATAAAGTACTGATTTAATTTATTATGCAATTGTAAATAGCAGTGTATTGTAAATATGTTATCACAACTTGTATATTTGCAGAACTTGAATTTACGACCTTTCTGTCCTTTTACAATCTTTCCCTCCTTTCAGATCAATCTGTGATATCTTCTCTGTGATGTCATTCTTATAGTAGCTGTGGTTCAATGTTCAGGTAATGTGATAAATTACTATTTAAAAACTTAAAAACTTAATTTTTGTTTCAAATCCTGAAAAAGAACAAAATAAATCAAATATTTGTGTTTTTACCTGTGTTAACGAGTTTACCTGCCTTAACAAGTTTACCTGTGTTAACGAGTTTACCTAAGAGGCTGTAAGTGTATCATAAGTAATATGTGACATCAGTATAGAAAACAAAGTCAGTACCAAGAGTTGTAAACTTGTTTATTTGTTTACAGATGTGCATGAAGAGAATTTACCTGTAATACCTGGGATTACCTGTGCCGTCCAAGATGACAAGACCACTGTGTTATGTTTACCTTGTATCTGTGATTTATTTTTGTGATTTTTAATACAATTTGAGCCAAAATTCATTGTCTGTTTTCATTTTTTCAGTGTTTTCAAGTTTTATTTCACTTGTAAACACCTGTAATTAGAAAATAACAAAGGTTAAAGACAATAAAAACAAAGAATATTACAGTATACTTAATCCTCTTTACAATGGTATATGAAAAATTTATATTAAAAGCAAGTTTCTGGTAGAAAAAGTGCATCAAAAATGATAGTGTGATTTTCCATAATACTGCCAGGGAGGCCAGTGTGCAGGCCTTGTGAGTGTCAGGGACTGCAGGGTTTCAAGGGACATAACTCTGGGGCAGCCAGGGATGAAAGAGTTAATGTGCACGGCTGATCATGATCAGTTGGTAGGGACCTAGTCATACCCAGAACTGGGGACATACAGCTCTCACACCAAGTCACTAAGCAGGCATGCCCTGATCGATCTTACATGCACAACATGTTCAATACTTTTATTACTTTAAAACAGTTAATAATTTATGGACACCTCTGGATTCACTAGCAAATTAATATTTTATCTGTATTATCAAACAAAAAAGTCAATAAATGCATAATCTCCAAGTCTATTATACTGTCCCAATAGCTACATGAGGACCTGTCTCAGTGAAGACACGCCCAACAACCAGGAAGGCTAGGCCAATATGCAGTCCCAGCAAGATTAACATAAAAAGCCTGTGTGATCTCAAATGCTATCATGTCTATAAATCTATCAGTTGATGATTGCCCTGTTTACACAGAAACAATGTCTCAGTTGTACACAAGTCACTGTTATTATAACGCCTGTACCTAACCCAAACATGGGCACCAAATAGTGGAGCATCGCTCCCCCTAACATATATAGTGTTTCTGTGACTATTTGAGGAGTTTTACTGCAGCATGTCTGTCAGGGAAATTCCTTGAGCCAAGTATGCTTATGCTGTGTGTCAACTCCAGCCTTAACAACATGATGACAATGTCTGTCCATCCATCAACTTCAGCCTGGTTAAGTCAGTGAGACATAGGCTGCCTTATTAGCCCTACGTAACACAACAAAATGGAACTCAACTCTCCACATTGATCCCTTCAAATCAATATATTTATAACCCATAAGACATTAACTTTTTCTTCACCGGACATGAAGCAAAATATCCTATATGCGCTCTTCTAGTTTCATATTTTTCATGAGAGTTATTTTTCTAATATGATTTTCATGTCTTTGTTAGGGGAGTTTATAATTTGTCAAGCCTAGACTAAAAAGTACAAGAAGGGTTAAGACACACCTGTACAGCATCATGAACCAAGATTGTATTTAAGAGTTAATTTGTTTAAGAATAGCATCTCAGGTGGTCTCTAGCCTAAATCATCCACAGCTTCCCGGTATGCCTAATCAGCCATTTTGTTTTCATACTTATACACATGAAGGAAACCAGTATTATTAATGACTGGTAGAAATATTTTAATCACATCGCTGCAATCTCCCAGGAGGAAAGCCAGTTATCAGTGCATAAAAGAGAGGAAGGAGGCCTGCCAAATTCTCCCTGATTCACCCTCACTTTGGACAGCAATGAGGCTACATCTCACACTCTGGTAAACAATTTAAGAAATTTTGGAGACAAGCTAAATAATTCCACATTTTGTCAATTTTTTCTCTTGGCCCAGTCAGAATCTCCACATTGAGAGCGTTTAGGCATTGCCACATGGTGCTCAGCAGGCAGGAACCACTTTTTATGCATTACTTCCGCAAAAAAAACATGAGATTGATGTCAGACCACAAGCTAGCTGGAGGCAAATGAATGAGAACGCAGCTTGTAGCTGTTTGACCACATTACTCTGTTTGCATTTGTAGTTATCTGGGATAAAAAAAGAATATCCATCTGTAACTGAACCATAAAATTGAAAGTTATGACTAGCTATCTTTGAATACATTAAGATGCTTTAATTCATCCAAGATCATAACATCAATGACCGTACTACAAAGGCATCTCTCAAAGCAGTAAGTGCACATCACAAAACACCTTTCACACTACTCAGGAAAGCTGATGTGAGTGCATGCAGAAAACTGACAAAAACTATACATGTATAAGCAATTAATCATGGCATACAGCATAGGTATATTTTCTTCACTGGTGACAATTTGCAAGATTCATTTTCCAAGTTAGATTCTTCAGTTGAAGCATGTGACGATACCATTGTATGATGACATTATGGCATTCTAAATTAGTTCTTATACAGCTAGTTAAATGCTCCCCAAATATACACAAAGTTTGTTTTCACATTGTCCATATGCTTTCAGATTTGCATGTATTTTGTTAGATTTTAATACCTGAAAATGGATACCACCATCACCATAGGTTGTAAGGGAAATCAAAGCATCATATTCGTGTTGTCTGGTAAGCTCGACCATATTGTTAACAGCGATACACAATAGTTTTAATGGTCAACGTGTTACTCGTTGGGATGATTTGTGGCTCTGTTATCTGCTTCCCCCTTCACAGAGGAGGATCAGATGTCTCTGCAACTTTCATGAAACATGTCTCTCTGTTGAGACAATCACTTACTTGCTGATGACTTCAACATTAGATTACTCTAAATAACCATATTGAAAGAAACTATGTTGAAGTATACAATCACTACACAGGAGCTGGTTTACTGTTTGCATTTACAGAGCAGGAAGAAGGGCAGTCTAGCTGGGGGCAGTGTCAAACAGCATTCTCACTTGTAGAGAGACAGAATGTTCAGTATTGTTCACCACCTTTGAATTTTAATACAAAACACAAGGAAAGCTTGAATAGCTTCAAGACTTTTTTCAAGATGATAAGAACTAACAATGTGTACAATGGACAACTGATGACAACAAAATGTCTTGAAAACATGAACAGAAAAATACATAACAAACATCCTTTGAGAATACACTTATAACATTCATCAACTGACAATTTGTTTTACAAATGTGAAGCCTACTAAATGATCTCCAGTGTCTCCAAACTTCCAAATTTGCTTCTGTCCAAGGGTGTTATTTTGATTGTACCCTATAGGACTGAGGTATTTTGTCTGTATAGAACATAAAGCTTAATTACAGGGCGCAGCCTATCTTTAGTCTGCTAATGTTCCAGACCCCCCTCACTGCCTCCTGTAATCCCAATCAATGAGATTCTAAACCTGGTATAGCCCACCTCAGACAATCTGACCACTACACCTGCTCAACATACAGCCATTCATGCCTGCATCACAACCTCCCTGTTCCACATCAGCCAACCAGCATCAGTATCTTAGCACTATCTACACAGAATGAAAAGAAAACTCCTTTGACAGATGTTCAGTCCTTTTAAATGTAAGAAGTTGAAAATACCATTAACCTAATAATGACATCTATATTTACAAGGTCTAGCTATCTTCATAATACCCATATATGTCAATTTCAAAACTTGTTCATCAGAATGAATTGGGAATCAATTTGAAAAATTGCCATGGAAATGACATATATTTAGTTTATTATTGGAACTTATTCAGCTACATAATTACACACACTGAAACTTTATCCATAAAAACACCTATCACTGCCTGCCTGACCATATAAACACTTTCTTCTTAAAAAGTTTCTGGGGCACCTTTTCAATCATTACTAATTCTGAGCATACTGTGGGTGGGAATTATATCTAAGTATATCAGGCAACAATTAATTCATTATCTGTTCCTAATCCACTTTTACCAAAGGGCAAATACATTATTATGGAGTGGTCTTAGCTGCTTTAACAGAGATCCTCTAGCAATCTCACAGAGAGGGGGTTCCAAGGCCTGCGGCAGTGGGTAGCAAACATAAATCACCATACACTTGACATTTATCTCAATCAAAAATCATTTAGCTAATAAGATAGTTTGTCATGTTTATTTTTGTACAAAAGCATCCCACAGAGATGGGGCTTCTTGCCAATGAGATCCAGGACATCAAAGACAGCTAGGCAAGTTACACTGATAGTGTCGTCCAATCTGTAGGAATATTACTGATAGTATATCACTGCACTGATGTACTCTATGCACAGAGAGATGTCAGTGTAAGGCAGAAGGGTATTCCATGGCCTAGTCATATGGCTAAAGACTACTTTGACATAACTAACATTTCAGACACAAGCTCTATAAATACCAACTACGTACTACTGCTATAGCACATTGAATGTCTCATAGATTTGCGCTATGAAATGTTTTTTGTGAAGCATTACTACCTGTGTATATATGCATTTCTCAAGTAGCTTAAAAGAATATAATAAATTCAATGTTTAGGAATAAAACATAACATGGATAGTGTCCGACAGCAACTTACTTATGTTTTCCATCTATACACAGGCTCATGGAATAGTGTCATTGCCTGACAGACATTGGACTGTACAGCTGATTAATTTTACTTGATGATATTGTGTGCAGGATCTGTTATGTAAATCATCAAAATACTGACATTTGCGACTGGCAATAACCAAGTTTACTTGATACTTCTATTTCATCAAGCATTCTGCATAACTTGATTAAATTACCTGTTGAAAAGGAAAAATACTGATGTCAAGAACAAATTTGTTTTTTTTTTAGTAGTTTAAAAAAAAAACAATAAATGTCTACCTTCTACCTTCTAGGCAAACAGAAACTCAAAAAGATTTTGATAACCAAATAACAGTTTAACAATCTCTTCATCACTTTTATCCATGTAAGTTAGCTGCCTAAAAAGATGTTACATAACAAAACACATTGAACCATCCTCAAACTCACTGAGGCCATGACAGCACCCCAAACTCCCATTCTACTTTTCCAGAAAGCAACAACAAACAGATCAAGCCATTGTGTTTAGTCTGGCGAGGGTCCTGGAAACAATAGCCTTGAAGACAACACACCACACGACATGGCTGGCTGGCAGGAGTCTGTGAATATTCCCTCAGAGATTAGAGTCTGGGACAGAACATCATGACTTCATACGCAGTTGCCCAACAGACTTACATGTTACGCCTAATTCACCCCACAGGGCAAGTGATCCGCTGTAAATTATTTTCTTATAGTTATACAGCTCAGCTAGGAGTGTACAAAATCATTCTCTGTCAGTGAAATAAAGTTTAAGTAATTGAACAAATAAACATTTACTAGTGCTTTAGATAATATCCTATCCATGGCAAAAATATACTGAAACATAATTTTTCAGGTTTCCAAATGTTGGTATGTTTGTGGGAGAACAAACAACCCGGGATTAAACATAATGAAAAATGAGCTCTCAAAATGCCAGACTCTTTACCTCCTAGGAGAACAAGCCAGTTATGAACATTTAGTCCCTTACATAATCATATTAATAGATACTATCTTCAAAAATTATATATGTAAATAAGGTAGAATTGTGTCATTAGTCTAGGAGAAGCCATATCTTATAAATTGCAGCCTTTCAGTGTGTTGGCCAAAACAGATGATGTGGAACGTCTATAATGGCATGAAAGGGGAAATAATTACGAATAATGAACTGTCGAAAAACAGAGTGAAAATTCATATGTTTAATCCCGGATTAGTTGCTCTCTTGAAAAGAGAAACCGGTCAGCATTTAGAAAATCACATTTTCATTATGTTTTCATACGTTCTGGTTGTCTTGTTGCGAAAACATGCCTGCTGAGCTAAGGATATAGGCAGAGTCGGTGTTGATGTAACTTAACATTTCTAAAGTACCTGCAAAAATATCCAAACAAAACTGTTGGCCTCCCTCAACTTCTATTGAATCTAACACTACACAGCATACATTCCAAAACATACTCTATTCTTGTGACCTTATGTTTATATACTGACAATAACACACTGACCACAATACATCCTCTCACACGATGACATATCAACTAAATCACTATCTACAAAGCGACCCCATGTATAAGACAACACCCCTGTACAAGCCTTTAAAATCGATGCTAATATATATATACCACGTCTATAAAGCGAAATGGAATGAAGCACGTCACCAGCGCATACACAATCCCTACATTTGCAATAAAAACGTGTTTGTCTTCCGCAGAAAAAAATACATTGTATCCCTTCAGCGAATTCAGGGACATGAACAGATCATAACAATTAAACTTGGTCAATAGAAATTTAAAATTTGAGATAAAAAACACAAGACATGAAGATTGACCGATTAAATTGTATTTCCTGTTCTGATAGGCATTGTTTTATACGCAGAGATTAAGATTACCGTGTATATTTTCTCGTAAAAACTAAGCCATAAGTAGCAATCAGCTGTACACGTTTCTCGGAATCTACTGGTGATTTGGTTAATAATTTTTACCCAATAACATAACTTTAAAGGATTTTGATACAATGATTGAAAGAATTGTATCTAAAACTATTATTTATTCCAATATCCTATTATTTTAGTAGTATTTTTATATATATATTCAAAATAAATTAAGAACCATAAGCATGGCACTTTGGTACAGCTGATCGCTGATCGCATGGACAATTTGACCAATCACTGTCAGGCTCCCGCGCTCGCGATAGTGAAAACTTTATGTTGACATATAATAGTCAAACTACAACAAATATGACTTTCAGCGAGTCTAAGTATGGCATTTATGATATGTATATCCATTCTCTATCCACTAAAGTTTGTTTCAATTAAGACATCGATCAATAGCGGTAATATGACTGTGGCTGCTGTTAATAATGGTGAGTCGTGTGATCTTCGATCACTTCACATACAATTTCGCCAAAATGAATATTAACAGTATTGAATGAAATTTTGAATAAAAATAACAAAATTAATAAAATAGATTACAAACGTAAGTCCAGATATATAATGAACACTTTTTATAACCAGACAGTATAACTACATGATTAGTTTGCGTACTTCAGTATGCATTTGTTGACATGATATTTCTGGTGTTACATGCTCACAGTAATGTCTTTGTGTTGGGGGGAAAAAAACATCAAAACTTTTCAACCCTGTGTATAAGACGATCACCCTTGAAAGCCCCCTAATTCTAGGTACGAAAAACTCACCTTATACACAGCACTATACGGTATATAATACACTTGACATTATGACAAGACATTCTTCTGGAGCTTTTTGTACACAAAATTAAAAAAAATAGCAAAAGGAAAAAGGAAAACTGCTTGAGTCTTCTGTAAACACATGCATGCATCTTATTGATAATCTAGTTACATGTACCCACTCAGTTCCCAGTTCCATGAAACTCTAGCCTATGGGAAACTACATCAGATTCAAAGAATGTACAATGCCTGGGAGATGAGAATAAGACAGATGAAAACAGCTGTGGAGGTTTCCTTCCTGGATTTTCCTTCAACATAAAGCCATTTCCCTTCTGTAATATCAGGTAACCTGAATGTGCTGCACAATCTCTCTGATAAAGGAGCAGCATATGCCCTTCACACATTACTAGGCTGATGCTCTTTACTTGAGTGTTGTTTTTTACACCATGTAAAGGAATTTATTTCTAATTATAACATAATCCTGATAATGAAATTAGCATGCGGTACTTATGCTTGATAGTCAACATGTCAGAGGTGGGATGCTGCTAACCTAAACAAATGCACAATGTAAGTAAAGTGTTGAAGCTGATAATAAAGATGGCTCCCGATTCTGGGCTGGATGGCTTCAGGTTGTGTCCTGAGTTTTATGAGCAAGGCATCTGTGCATAATTACTCCTGTATTCCTGGAGAGTAATGGTTCATGAAATTTCTCCAACAGACAGTGAAAGCAAAAAAAGCATTCAAGCATGTGGGAGATGAAATTCTATCTTCACATGCTGACAATGTATGTGACATTTCAAAACATATATATTGATGGGAGTCTCAGAGATGTTCTTTTTTCATCATCTTCAAAGGCAACTGACTATTTCGTCAAAGACTGACTTTAAGGAAATGGTAAATCACAAGTAGCACAAAAACAAACTTAAACTACTGTTCTCAGTTTCAATAAGTTAACACTAGTAGGAATCTCATATCACTTACTGTCATCCTCATGTCTGTTGAGAAAAACAAACCTAAACTACTGTTCTCAGTTTCAATAAGTTAACACTAGTAGGAATCTCATATCACTTACTGTCATCCTCATGTCTGTTGAGACAGGACTTGCGTAGAGCACTTTTGTCTTTCCGAACTTTTCGTCTAACAGGTTCTGTACTTGATGGAGCAGACGGGGCTGTTTCAAACATACTTTCACTCTCCGTTGATCCTGGTAAACTATCCGAATCCTTAACAGCCTGTGCATTTCTTGTAATAAAGCGTCTCCGTTTCTCTGACCTGTCCCTGTTTGTATAATCATCCACATGGCGTGTATCGAACTCAGACCTCCGCAGTCCTAGAGCTGACTTTCTCATTTGTGTATCCGAAGATTCAGAACCACCTGAAGATTCAAACTCATCCAATATATCTGTCACCTGTAATTCCAAGTTATTATTTTCACCTTGAAGGTTATCAGAGGAATTGTGCGTCTGCTTCCTCACAGCAGATGTCACTGAAGAGAATTTGTCATCTGCAGCAGCCCCCTCCTCAGTTGCATCCACCTCCTTTGACAGCCTGCAAAATAGAACAAAAACTTTTACAAGATGTCCTGAACATTCCTTCAGTGCAAACATAAAAAATATCCGGTTCTCTAGTTTCAAACAAAAACATAATTACAGTGTGTCTGCTGGAGGTCATATCAGGTGGCCATGTGTAGTCTGCCACTTCCTCCCAGTCCACAGCTCAGCTACAGTTTCTTAATCGGCAGCTCTACTTCTAACAGTTTCTCTCCCCTAACAATCAACCACCATTGAAAGTGCAGCTCAATCTCACATTTTCTGACAGATGGAAAAAGCATTGAAAGGAAAACTTGAGATATTTGCTCATTCCACTAGTTAGTGGGAACTAGTCCAAAATCATCCGCCCCTCATCTTCGCAGGGGAACATTATTTCTGTCTGTACCTAAACAATCTGAGTGGAGGGAACCCTCTTCATAACAGTCGCATCCTATCTCACTCAACACTGCCTCAGACAACCACCAACATTCAGGTGTTTATTATCCAATATCATAGGATGACAGATCTCAAAAACAACACTCTCACTTTGGCCTGTTATTATCAGCCTCCCCATCTTAGATTCTTGTTCTCCCCATTCAGCCATGGGCATCTGACAGTATGATTCATGGAATCAGTGAATTAGAAGTGCCATATTGCAACGTGATAGGCATCGACATGACAGATTTATATAATGTTCAGCTTTGGAAATATGTCATTATACATTCAACCACTGGAAATATTGGATAAAGTTTGTATTTATTATTTCCTGTTCTTCTGTAAACCAACATCTTAAAAAACTCAAAATGTGAACAGCTCATGAAATTAGTCAACATCTAATAATTTCTGCAATCACTTCAAAGCCACGTTCCAACATGACACAGAGACCACAAATTCCATGGCACAATAAATAGAGAGACTGAAACAGAGAACATGAATGTTAACATGCTTGCTCTTTTGCCGAGTTTATATCGCCAAATGATAGGAGAGAATGCAAGTTTGTTATCCCGTGTGAAGCTCCTCAAAGTGACAGTGGAGTAAGTTATTGGCTGAGAGGTGGCAGTAAAGTGATCATAGTGCACAAGACAGCTGCTTATACAGGTGTTTTTGTGCTGTACAAGCACACCAGGTAGATGCACCAAGACCAGCTCTTCCAGGTCACTGACGCATACAGTTGGCAGCTAGTTCCTACTTTGTCAGACCTTACAGGACTGACATTGAAACTTGACAGTGTTCAACATTAAGCTTGAAAGCCGCTGTCATAACCCAAGTGTTGATTGTTAGAGATTGAGGGGTCCCTAGATTAAAATATTATAGGAGCAAACCTCAAGGATCCAAGGAACCTCTGTAACTTAAAACACTACTTGGAAATGAAAAATCCTTGACTTTGCATGTGAATTTATTTCTAACCAAACGGTGTTAGAGCAATTCAGTCACATTTGGCAGCAGCTCCATTCCCAACCTTTTCCTGAATGCCCCATGATCTTCCTAACAGAAACTTTTTATCCTGTACTATTTCAACATCACCAAATCAGCTGACAGCGGACCTCACTAATATCTATCTGTATTATAGTTGATCCCCATAATGCTGGTCGCACAACTTGGTCCTATAAGTCTATCTTCCTTAATGAAAGTTCTGTGCCTCCATATAGATCCCATCTTCCCGAGGCAAGTGAGTTAACTGACTGCAAAAGTCCAGTTTCGAACCTTGCCAAACTACGCTGGAATTTTGTGGCTTGATCAACAGTGGTTCTCACTGGTTATGTCCCTCCTACTGACAAATCTAATTCCATCTCTCATTTCACATGCATTTGTCGCAAACAAAATGGTAACTCCAGTCAATATCTGACCGATAATCAAGATCTATATTGTAATATAACGAGTCTTACCTCACAAAGTGCATTAAATAACTTGAGCACCTTGATTAAAAACATGGAAAGATTTGGAAAATATCTGTTTACACAGATATCCTTGGATAGTATACATGCTCTGCAAATCCTGCAATCAACCAAAATCTGCACAGCAGATGTCATGTAGTTGGATTTCGTTAATAGTCAGTCAACTCCCATGTATGTATAATTAATAACAAAATTATAAGTACTTCCAGATTAATTACATCACTTCTCGTTCGGGAAAACATATGCCAAATGAATTAACAACTGTGAAACATATAGGCTTCTATGCGCATCAATATGGATCCATATAGATCCTACATAACAAAGTTACTACCCTTTCCAGAATAACAACATCACTTCTGTTTTGGGAAAACATGATCAAAGAACAAATGTTGACCACTTCAGTACTACTTTCTTCTAGCTACTACTAGCTACATTAATAATATTGTTATATTAACTGGTCTCAAGGTTCACACTTGCCCCTACAGGGGCTGCCTAATTATCTAAAGTAACTAAATTGCTGGAGTAAAAACCTTGTAGTTGGACAAACATGTTTTTACTTACAAAACAAATAATTATTTTCTAAGATATATATGGATGTTTGCTTGTTGTTCAGCGCTGCACTGGGCAATGTATTCCAGCTATGTCATGGCAGCATGTAAATGATCAAGACCAGATCAAATGAAATCAAGACAACTGATTGATGGAGGAATGTCCCCCCACCTTCAGGGTACAATAACACCAGCAGATCCATATAGTCTGCTCTTACAACAAGCACAGGTGACTGGGGACCAATTCAAATGATCTAATCATGTATTGCAATCTTGAAAATATTATGCAAGAAAATACAACACACCTGAAAACATTTCTTCCATCATTTTATAGATATTTTTCTTGGTGAAAAAATCTCAAACTAAAAACATTTCAGATACCAAAACTAGTTCAAGCTCCAAATGCTGATAGTAGACAGATGCAGAAAAAAGCTTGATTGGTTTTAAAGAGCAAAGCATTTGACAGAAATCATTAAGCTGAGAAGTATATATTACACAGCCTATATATCACACAACTAGAATCATTCCTTACATAGTTTGTCATTACATCTAAACAAACACTGACCAGCTGCTCTGATTACATTCAGCATCCAAACTGAAGTTCATCTCACAGAAACTCATGTGTTTTACTCTCTCTCCCTCCAAGTCAATTAAAAGCAGTCTGGATAATAACCATGTTAAAAGAGCTAGGTCTCCTTATCTGAAGTGCTGACATGTGATGTAAACAACAGTGACATGGACAACCCTGCAGGGTAAGCCATCCTGTAGCTGTACAAGCAAATCGGGAACATTTTGCATACAGGTGTGATTGGAATTAATTGTTTACAGGATAAAGTGGGTTATCTCTTTTCAGTTTAAACATCCTCTGAACTTGAGTACAGATGTGAGGTACACAGCAACCTTATAGACAACTGAGAATACTTGCAAGTTTTACAAGGCACTAAAAAGTCATGTGTCTAAAGGTTAACATGACAGAACATTGGGAGAAGTTCCCACGAGTATTTGGATTACTTGCAAAATGCCACTTACATGGAAACAGTAGAGATGACATTTTGTCAAGTATATCCCCATATTCCGATAAAGTCTATCTTTCACACATTATTTCATGAATCATAAAATAAGGCGTTTTACATTTAATATGTTTGTAGAGTCTCAGTGCCAAACAAACACCTTACATGGAGCAGGAGACTTCCCATGTGTTTTCAAAATTACCAAAAAAGTTAAATATAAAAACAACTAAAATGACCAAATTACATGTCACAAAACATGCATAAATGAACTTAATCACATACATATAATTCTTCACAATTTATAATGCTCCAAACTTTCAACAAATTTGAACATAGAGAGATAAATAATCAGCTAGACATATTTGCCCCCAGTGTATGTGCCAACTATTACATAAAGGTCATCAACACACCCAGCTATGACGTAGAGAGCAGGGGGTCCGCCTGGACCCCACACCACCAAGTTCACATAACACTACCCCCACAACTCTCACACATGCCCTCTCCTCCACCCAACATGTAAGGATAAGCTGCCATTGTAATTACATGCCTGACAATACCTACAGCTGAAGCAAAGATTCCAAAATGCAACATTACCAGTTTCCCATGGCGATGGAATCGACTGGCTAGATACAGACCAAGGAATTGCCTTATTCCGTATTGCCAGAGGTGTACAGACTATGCAAGATGCTAGCACTTCTGTGATCAAGTTTCCTTCAGTGCAGGGCTGTATTGTCAGGTAGTGTTGGAGAGCCTGCTACTATAATGGTCCCTCACCAGGCCAGCCTTTGACCTGTGTTTACATCTAGTATTTGTCTGTCTTGCTTAACGGAGCGAAATAAATACCTGTACAGTAAAAGTCCAAAAGCAAAAGGAATATGTCAGACACTTCACCTGCTGAATGAGTTCAAGAGAAGGTTAAACTGGATTGTTTTTTGCTGCATAAATATTATCTTGAATACACATACAGTTTATTTGATGCACAACATATTAGATTATGATGTCAGGTGTTTAGGGAACATGCCACATTGGCTATCGTGAGAAGAGGGGTTAGGTTTCCACTTGTATCAAATTATTGAGATAACATTCCACCCTGGTCACGCTCCAGTCACCTCACCTGTGACAGACAATTACCTGCCGATTTCACCTGTGTCACCGGACTATAATCACTTAATAGGTAGACATTGTTAACATATGACTACACAGTATATTGTCAACTTATTGAGGTTCTTTCCCTCTGGAATTCAGTGTCATTGTGGTCACTGCCATTTGAAAAGAAAGATTATATATATATACCCTTTTGAACAGTTTACAAGATTTAATTCACGTTTTAAACAAGTGTCATCAGAAGATGACATAACCATCCCGATCTGGTTATTCGGCGACTTATACCCCACTCTTGGTTCATTGCCATTGGATACCTTCAGTTTAGTGAAGACAATTATAATGTTGTTCAGTACTTTTGAAAATCCCAAATCATCATAGGGCATGAATTCACCACTCATCTAGAAATATTCAACGATTTCCTCTGAAAACAAGCACTACTCTCACTTTTACTAAGAGTTCAAC